GATGCATGGGCGGCAGGGACAGATATGCCCTCTGCAGCCACTTCAGGATGAGACCCAAGGGGATGCTAAGGTGCTCACGACGGCAGCTCCCCACACGGGCTGCCACCGCTCGCAGGGCACAGGTTCTTCTTCCCTCCCCGCGGCCCTGGCCCAACACAGTCACAGCCCATTGTTTCAGTCACCCTCTTCCCCAAACCTCGGGTTCCTGGGCCCTTTGTCCTTTTGGTGTGCCCACCCCTGAAGCCACCTCACCCCCACCACCTTGTCTGCAACGTGAGGCCCTGGCTGCAGGTGACAGCCGGGCCACAGGTGCCATTGCCTGGAGCTCAAGCTCCCTGACAGTGAGCAGGGGCCTGCAGGGAGGGCCTGTAGACCCACAGGCCCTGGCACGACCCTCCACCCCGGGGCACCCCCACCAGCCCGAACGCCTCCTCTGACTCCCGACAAGACGGGGTCCCTGGAGTCCTCCCCCTTCCTGGTCACTTGACTGACAGGGTGAATGCCCAATGAGCAGGACTCCTGGGGCCCCAGCACTGGGAACCTGCGGGTGCCAGGACTTGTTACCTTAACAAGCAACTGTACCAAAGGGCCCCAGATGGCGACTGGCATCAGGACGAAGCCGGGCCAGGGGCGCCATCAGCCCTTCTGCTCACAAGGCCGGCCGCCCCACCCTTGGGAAGAAGTCTGCAAACACAGGCCCACCGCAGTCCTGTGCCCGGGCGCACCCACCTCAGGCGTCAGCTCCTCTGCGTCCATCCTAGCTCTGCTGGCGTTGCTGTGGGCAGGGCTCCAGAGTGGGGACAAGCCCTGCTCAGCTGGGCACGGCGGGCTGCTCCATGCAGAGGGGCAAGGCTGAGGACTCTCCATGGAAAGGCCTGGAACTGCGCAGGGTGGGGGCAGAGGAGGAACAGGAAAGGCTGCCATGCCGGCCAGGCACATGCCTACCGTGCGGTGGCGTGCGTGTTCCGCGCTGCCTCCAGGCCCTTTCTGGGGAACGAGTAAACCAGATGCAGTTCTCATGTGACAAAATGAGAGACAAGGTGGCTGGTCGACCCTGCTTCACAGAGGCCACCGCAGATGGTCGGGACCCCAGGGCTCTGGTTTCTAGGGGCTTCTCACTGCTCTTGGGACTGTAACCGTGACGGGGCACAGAGCCTGTAAAGCAGGGGGCACGGTCAGGGAGGGGTTCTTCCTGTGGGTACAAAACAAGAGCCAGTCGTAAAATGTCAAATTGATGCTAAAAAAGTGTCTATTTGAAGGCCAAACTCATTCATTGTTCATTAAAGAAAACTGGATATTATCCAATTTGTCAGTTTTCTGCTTCCTGGGATTTTTCATGAACAAGGATTTTATTTTGTTTTTTTAGAATACTACAAAAGTAAGTCATACTTAAATTTCTTCTCCTTCTTAAAATAATGTTTGCTTTTGACTAGATAGAAACTTCTGGACTAGTTCCAAGGAGGCTGATGGCGAGGCACATTCCATCACATGCTTTGTAATAAAGAAATTTTCTTTTCTTTTCTTTTTAATTCTCAAAGGGTATTTCTAATGTTTTTCTATGAGTAACTTGAGTGTCAAAGTTTTAAAGATATCTTTAAAGCATATATAGGAGAAATTTAACTACTGTTTTAAAGCTATTTAAGATAGTGTTTTAACACCCAAAGAACCATTATTTCTAACTATGACTGAACCAACTCACAAAATGCTGGAATAGAAGGAGGCACCGGGCAGAGCCCAAGGGCCTCCTCCCTCCCCCATGACTGGCTTCAAAGCAAGACTGTCTTATACAATGGCAGACTTCAGATGCCTACAGTGACCAATTTATGAAACCAAAATGGTTTATTTAGCCTAAAACATGTAGGCAGGTTAGAGTGGAGCTGTGTGGCCCCCACGCGCACCTCTGGCTGCTGGTGAGGCAGCGGAGCTGGTCAGCACCCGCATGTGCCTGCGGCTGGACAGGGGGGCCCTGGTTTTCACACTGAAAACCCGGAGCCTGGGGAGACTGCAAACTGGGGTTTCTGGCTGTGAGCCATCAGTGCTCAGACGGCAGAACTGCTCACAACCAGACAGATCCAAGACATGGGGGAACATTCAGGGACATTAGAAAGTCCAGACAGTTGCAATAGGAAATTATTAACAACAGTTTATTAGGATTTGCTTTTATTACACATTTAAAATTGCTAAGCAACCTTAAATAGCACAGCACTCCTCAGTTCCCCGCCCACTCCCCCCAGGCTGAACACGGACTTCACAGCTTCTGTGGGGACCACGTGGGGGCGCGGGTACAGGCCTGGCGCAGAGGGTTTCCAGGAGCCAGCTCTTCGGATCGGCGCTCCAGAACCCTCCTTGTCCCTAACGAGCCGAGGGCTGCATGTGAGAAACCTTCACACACTGAAAATTCTGAAAAAAGTCTAGAAGTTACTAGTAACCTATCTGTTTATTCTTCACCCTGGTATCGTTTAAGGTGTGAGAGCCAAGGTGAGTCACACCTGTCGGTCACGAAAATAGGGCAGTTTTATGCTCGTGTCTCCAGTGCCCCCCGCATGGCGTCTCCCTCCAAGACGAGCACTCCTGCAGTGGGTCAGGGTGGACAGCCGACCACAGTGGCTGCAGAACCGGACTTTATCCTCAGACAGCAAAGGGGAGACTCGGAGGTGGCGTCACATGCGATGAGCCACACCACGGCTGGGCTGGTCCGCACTGTCCCGTGGGGTGGTGGACTCCCGGCGAACAGCTCTGTAGCCGCCAACTCTGGGAGGAGAGGAACCCCAGGGCAGCTCCCAGAGCCAACTGACATTGTTGCGTAGATGTCATCGCACAAGACTTGTAAACTCACTACTTACTGGATGAGAAAGTACCGCCACTTGCCATTAAATATTTTTTATTAAATCAGCTACAGCAAAGCGCCGTGAATCACAACCACCTCAAACCATGTGACTAACACAGATCCCGCAAGACAAAGCAGGTAAAGCTGGAGTGGCCGTAGCATGGTCTGTGCAGGCCGGCCTCTGGCCCCGCCACGTCAAGTCCAGAAGAACCCACAGACCTTGTTTTGCGGCAGTTCACAGATGTGCTTTTGACAATTTGAAGGTTTGCGGCAGCCATGCATCCAGCAGGTCTACTGGTGCCATTTTCCCAACAGCATTTGCTCACTTTGTGTCTGTGTCACATTTCAGTAATTATCACATTTCAAACTTTTTCATTGTATTTGTTCTGGTGACCCGGAACCAGTGATCTCTGATGTCTCTAGTCTAACTTTTGGGAAGCACAAACCACACCTATGTGAGACAGTGAACTTTATCCGTGAATGTGTGTGTCCTGACAGCTCTGCTGGCCGATGTTCCCGTCTCTTCCTCTCCTCAGACCGATTCACACCCTACGATGGCCTCCAAGTGCTCCAGGAAAAGGAAAGCCACACATCTCACTTTAAATCAAAACCTAGGAACGACTGGAAGCCAAGAGGGGCTGAAAGCTTGGCCTTCTGCACCAGCCAGGTTGTGAAGCAAAGGAAAAGTCCTGAAGGAAATTAAAAGTGTTCCTCTAGCGACACAAGTACCAGGGAAGCGAAGCAGTCTCACTGGTGATGTGGGGAAAGTGTAAGTGGTCTGGACAGAAGATCCCACCAGCCACATCCCCTTAAGCCAAAGCCTAACCCTGACTCTCTTCAACTCTGTGGAGGCTGAGAGAGAGGAAGAACCTGCAGAAGGAAAGCTAGAGGCCAGCAGAGGTTTAGTTCACGAGGTTCAAGGAAAGAGGGCGTCTCCCTAACATCAAAGTGCAGGTGAGGCAGCGGGTGCCGAGGGGGAAGCTGCAGCAAGTTACCCAGGAGACCTGAGATCGTTCAGGCAGGTTGTGCACTAACACCAGACTTCAGTGTAGACGAAACAGCCTCCTTGGAAGCCGCCGCCGCCTGGGGCCTTCATAGCTGGAGAGGAGAAGTCAGTGCCTGGCTTCACAGCTTCAGAGGACGACTGGCTGAGTCTCTTACAGGGGCTAAAGCGGTCAGTGACTTTCAGCTGAAGCCGGTGCTCACTGCCCACTCTGCAAACCAGGGGGCCCTTAAGAATCGTGCTCTGTGAGGGGAACAGCAAAGCCTGGACGACAGCACACCTGTTTACAACCTACTTTACTCAGTATTTCAGGATTCCTTTGAAAATATGACTGCTCGCTGACAATGCACCTGGTCTTCCTGGAGCACCGATGGACGACGAGACAAATGTTTCCACACCTGCCGACACTACACCCACCCTGCAGCCCCTGGGCCAAGGAGTCCTTTCAGCTTGCAGGTCATTGTTTTAAGAAATACTTCTCGTAAGTCTGCAGCCGCCACAGGTACTGATTGCTCTGCTGGGTCTGGGCAAAGGCAGTAGAAGGCCTTCTGGAAGGGGGGTCACTACTGCAGATGCCATTGGGATCACTCGTGACTCATGGGAAGGGGCCAAAATATCCCTTAAAAGTACTTAAAGTTTTAAACTCTCACATCAAACTGTCAGCAGTGAGCAACTCTGGCAGGTGATTTTTTGGCATTCTCTATTTCCAAAACTTTCTAAGTACTCTTCTCACAATTTTTGAACCTCATTTTAGAAAGCTCAGCATTACATTTTCGTGCTTATCTTCACTCCACTCCCCTAACTCGGCGATAAAAGATAAACACCATACACAGAGGAAAAGTCAGGCTTGCTTCTATTCCGTGCCTTTAAATGCTGTTCTTCACTGTGATAAACAATCTTAAACAATTTTTGCTTAATAGTGGAGGAAGAATCAGCTCGTTCGGGAAGTTCAAAGACGGGTGACAGCAGGAGGCGTGGAGCTAGAAGCCAGCAGCTCCGTTTGGCTCGAACAATGACTACAGGATTCGGGGAGATGCGTCACCCAGGCGCTTTCCTAAGCCTTCCGCCTCGGCCCCCTTCCCTGGCTGCGGCCAAGCAGACGGACACCGACGGACGCTGGGTGCCAGAGGCCCTGAAACCCGAAGACCAGCAACCACTCCCAGGGGCGGAGGCAGGACCCTGCTCCTCAAGGTCGGCTGCCCGAGCACTCCCACCACCCGCACGGGCTGGAGCGGTGCACACACTCCGCGGAGGTAGCAGAGAGCTGTGCTGGGCGAGTGGAAACCCAAGTTCAGAACTGAAGTAAAGATTGTGACAATCTGAGCGGCCGCCGCGCTCCTGGGCCAGGGATTTTACGGGCGGGTCTGGTGAGGGGATGGCGGTACTGCTCTCATTTTTAGAGTTCGGCAGCCAACAGCGAGTGTGCCCTGCAGGTGCCACAGAGGATGTGCAGCCAGGACAGGCTTGCCCACGCCCGCCTCTGTGCACCCCGAGGGCTGCGCCAGGCTGAGCCGCCAGGCTGAGCAAAGAGCAGCCACCACACAGCAGGGCCTCCCCAGCTGCGCCCTGCGTGCACCTGCCGAGCGTCACAGTGCCTGCGGCTGTGTGGGTCGGGGGACACACGGAGCTTGGGGGTGGGGGCTGCCTAATGCTCAGGATGACCTTTGTTCATGTGAAGCAGAACTGTAAGCAAACAGAGGGAAAGAAAGCTAAAAAGCCCATTAAAAAAAACTCATAGTAAATGTTTCCTTAGTTTATTGAATGAACAATTAAAAAATTCTGAATTAGTACATATCCACAAATTCATAAATGGCAATTTCAATGGAAAACAAATTTAAAGTACCGCAAACCAGGCAACATTGGTGTCTCTTCAGAGAACGAACAGGTTCAAATGCATAAAGCGAGGCTAGTCCCTTTTCTCATCGTTTCCTGGGGTGTAGAGACGCCGCCACGCAGGCCACAGCACCAAGGACACGTCAGGCCCAGGCGCTGCATGGAGGGCCCCAAGTGGCCCCCCACACCCTGGCCATGGCCCCTCTTTCAGGACAAGAGTTGAAGCAAACATGGGCAGCACACAGCCTCGAGGAGAGAAGGGAAGACTCCAACTTCAGGAGCCTGAGAGGATGTAACATTTCTGTGAGTAACTGTTCTAGAGACGGATTTCTTTGTTGATGTTCCATGAACCAGAGGCCTTGGTACCTTGAAGACATAGGAACTGGCATTGAACGTCACATGAACACATAACCCATGGGCAGGGTTCACAGGCTGTGCCCGTGAGGTCGTGACCACACCGCGAGTGATGCCTGGCCACCCCTTCAGGGCAGCAGACGGTGGAGGGGTCTGCATGGAGATCAGAATGTACCTATACACTGACAATCGAAAGGGCTTCACAAAGTGATGGTGATGGGGGTGAATTAACCAGTCTGTTTAAAGTTTTTCCTATTCAACTTTTTTTTGATGTGGTATTTTCACAGTTCATCACTCTATCATCACTACTATTTAAAAAATGTATTTTTACTGGAAAAGGGAAACTTGATCCCATAACTGGAGAGTTCCTTTGTAATATAAGAAAGACACATCCATGCCTAAGGATTCAAAAATGGCCCAGGGCACAGCATCACCTATTTCAGCACAGTCGTACCAACGAAGCTGTCCTGTGGGGAGGCTTTAAATAAGCATATACTGGCTGACATAGCATACTGGACTTTGGGAACTCAGATACAAAAATAGACTTGATAACTAGTAAAAATAAATATTCTACCTAAAGCAGAGTATTTTACTAGAGGTGGGCTTCATGGGGACAAAAGGCACGACCTGCCAGGGACCTGCTGCCAGCCAGCTCACCCACATGCCCGGCTCTGACGGCTGGCGGCGAGCCCCTCCTGCTGAGCAAGGCCACAGAGCTGGCAAAGCAGAGAACAGATGGAAAGGGGAAAACGGCCGACCTCCGGCAGGCATCCACCCGGACCACCGGCTCCTGATGCGAGACGCACCGGTACCAGGCGACAGGCTTCCCTCAAACATGGGCATCTGCCCTGGAACCCAGGTACACGGGGCGCCCTGCCACGGTGGCGTCCCTGTGTAGCACTAGGGCTCCCCGGAAAGGCGATCATGACCAACAGCCATGAACACCCAGAAGGCAAGCCCAACAAGGCTCAGGGCGCGGTGCCCTGGGTCTGAGTCGTCACATACATTTTAGTGTTTGCGATGAACCATCTCTTACAAAGATGAAGCACATAACGTAGCTGTTCCAGCTGCCGAGACAGCAGACAGACACCATATACGGGAGGAAATGAGGTCCTTCAAGCCCTTTCCCTTGGTTGCTGGAGGATTCCCTTGGGGTGGGAGTTACAGCCCCTCAAAAGGGGGTGAGGCACGACTGACTTCGATAAATGACTTCATTATAAAGGATGAGCTGTAAACTTTAAAATACTGTGAGCACTTTGGAAAAGTGCTCTTCAAAATTTTCCTAGATCTTGCCAAAAAACTAAGCCTGAGTGTGAGGATACCAGCACACCAGTGTTGTCTGTAGGGCACCTGGGGTGCCAGACTGGATCTGGAGCGGCACATGGGGCTCTCGGGATGGGCTGGGTATGAGCAGGGCAGAGGCGGGAGCACCCTTGTGTTTCAGATTTGTGCAGAAATTGAGGGGCTGCACGTAAGGGACCCACTTTAAAACATAGAGGACAGAGCATGAGCGAGGTCTTGTACTGGAGGCACTGACGGGGCATTTGCTGTATTCCTCTTTACATTTTTATATGCCCTGAAAACTTTTAAAATAAAAAGCTAAAAATCCATCTCCAGAAAATGGAGTCTCACTGAAGAAAGAAAACAACCCTTCCTTGGGAAGGGTGCTAGAAGTGGTCTGACGACAAGGAGTTCGCTCAGGACCTCCAAGACAGGAACGGACGGGGCGGCCCGGCTGCAGGGTCAGCTTGACCCCGTGGGCTCCCCAGGCAGAAAGGGTCCGTGCTGTCAGCAGTGGCCACCGCAGGCACCAGGCACTGACTGACGGAGACACGGCTGCCACAGGCTGGCTGGCGCACAGGTATATTTGTGGGTAACCCACACAGGCTTCCCCCCCAGCCCCAAGGCTTGTTGTGTAAGTGCCTAAAGGGAGGCCAGAAAGTCTCGAATGCTATTCTGCCACATGAGCTGTCAGATTCACATGGGCCAGCGCGCTTGCTGCAGACCAGGGTGATGGCCAGACATGCTGTGGTTCAAGGCAGCTCCAAAAATGGAAGATTACTCAGCACCTTTGGCCAAAACCCCTGTTGTTACTCGACTAGAGAGAAGTCCCTGCAAGAGGCCCCTGTGGCTCCCAGAGACCCGCCACCTGTGTGCACACAGGACACCAGCTCAGGCGGGCTCAGCAGGACGAAGACAGGGGGCTGAATGTCACCACAGGGTGTTTAGGAAAGAAACAGCTCTTAAGCAGGGCGCTGCTCTGAGAGGTAAGGTCAGAATGGACAAGCCACAGAAACCCCCAGACAAGACGCAATCCGTGGGCTCAGCTGACAAACGCGGCCTGTCGGCCCAGGGCCTGCATGGGCATGGCGCTTCTGTGCTGGGCTGCACAGCAGTGGGGTTCCTATCCAGCCTGTGCCCTGGGCACCAGCCCCCACCCCACTGCCATCTGCTGACACCACCCTTCCTGCTGCCTCGGCACAGACGACTTCCATGATGCCACCCATTAGAAATGGCTAAAGCCCCCCTCACCTAAAGGAAACGTTCCTAAAGAGTGAGTGTCCGTTCACACCCGACATTCATCCTTTTCTGTGAACGGCCTGGGGAGGAGGCTCTGGGATGCGCTGCAGCACCCCTCCCGAGCGGGCCGGAGCGCCCGCTCTGCGCTTCCTGCCCCGGACCCGGGAAAGCTGGGCGGAAGGGGGCAGCTCGCGCTCACAGTGCATTTTAAGCCAACGCCTCTCCAAGCCTCTATCCGAACACAGAACTATTCCAGGTCTACACTCCCTAAGGGGGTGATGCTTTTGGTGCTGGGACACCAGGGCAGTCTCAGGGACCCTGCTATGTGCATGTGCAGCTGGGGACCACAGTACAGAGGCTGCCACCACTGCCTTCCCAGGATCTGGGTTCTGTGGGGCTTACTGGAGATTCCGTGGAGTGGCTGCACAAAGCAGGGACTCCATCTAATTGATCACAGGCAGCCTCATCTTAAAAAGTGGGGACGGGCATAAAACACCTTCTATCCAAGATTGACACATTTCAGAACGGTAACATCCGTGGCGTACGGCCCTGGTTCTAGGTGGACTGAGGCGCGAGCCAAGGGAATACAGCTGCAAGACTGGCGACGAGGCCCCGGACGCCAGCGGGAACAGCTCACCTCCTTTAAACCTGACGCATGGCTCTGAATTCATTCTGTGGAAGTTTGGTTCTTTAACATTCAAAACAGGGTAATCAATCAGAGAATCATTGAAAAAAATCTAGCCACGAGCACAAAATCACTTTCTATGTCTACAGCTAACAGCTTGAGCCCTCCCTGCGCTCAGCAGGGGGCCAGGTCACCCTGGAAGGGCACTGGGCACGGTCAGGATGGGTTTTTATCTATCCATTCTCCTGGAGTCAAATTCTTTACATTATTCTGCAAATCGAAAATGACTCTCTCCCCTCTTGTCTGTGTAAAAGGGTTGCTGAAGAAAAGCCTGATGTCTAGGGGGGCCTCAGCCTCGGAGCCCCAGGAATCTGTGTCTGGGCTGCTGGAGTCCTCGGCCGTCGTGGGCGGGTAGCTGAGCTGCTCTAACTGGTCGATGATGTCAGAGAACTGGAGGGCCGAGCTGGACTCGGAGCGGACTGAACAGGCTGGGAAGTTGGCCATGGAACTGGCCTCGGACTGGCTGGCCGAGCTGGGCGTGTGCGCAGACAGGCCGCCGAGCAGCGGCACGTGGCAGAGCGATCCGGCCTCCGAGGCGCTCAGCAGGCTCTGCGCCAGGCTGGCCTGCGCCTTCACCTCGAACAGCTCTGAGGTGTCTGGGGGGCGCACGCTGCTGCCAAAGCCACTCTCCTCCTCAAACTTGAAGCCCTGCTCTCTGTGCAGGTGGCCCACCTCAGGGGTACACCTGCCCAGGCCGGAGGCGGGGGGTCCCGGGGAAGCACACGCAGGTGCCCGTGGGGCTGGCCTGCAGTATGGGAGGGAAAAGGCTTCAGCACCTCCGGCAAAGAAGGAGATGTCCGCCGGGTCGTCATCTATGAACTCCTCAGAAACCTGCAGCCGGGTGGTTGTCAATGTGAAAGTGGGGGCCCCCCCGCCCTGCCCACCACACAGGTGCTCCACATTGGAGGGGGACGAGCATGCGGGCAATGCGCCCCCACCACGGTCATTTCTGCCAGCACCCCCAGCACCCAGGCCTAAGGGGCTGCAACTCCTCACGACACGACAAAACCCGACACCTTGACACGGCTGCAGCGCAGGGGACCGTGGGGGTGGGGCCCGGCAGGTGTCAGGGCCTCGGGCTGCTGCCCCACTGCTCCTCTCAGCAGCTGGCCTCCTGTCCTCTGGCGCCTGGAGCTCACTCATGGAGCCGCTGCTGCCCTGGAAGCCAGGCAGGCCTGGAGGGGCCGGCGGGGCGGTGGAGGAGACCGAACAGGAGGCACCCACTGGAGATGGGGACGCAGAAGTCCGCATGCCCTCGGGGAATGAGATGCTCTGGGGTCAAAGGAGAAAGAGAAAAAGGAGCACATGGAACTACAGATCACCACCAGAGTTGCCACGCTAGCCCAGCCCTCGTGAGCTCCCCCTGCACCTGCTGCCGCCACACACAAGGCCCCTGGGCCGGGCTTTCTTTTCCCTTTGAGAGCTGGAGGATTTCCAAGGGACCCAGGGCCATGGGTCCCTAACTTCTTTAATTTCATTTTATTCTTTTGAGGCATGAAATGTCTCCAGTAAGAAAACGTCCATCCCTGACATGGAGCCACACATGCGCCACAGCTCCTTGGGGCCCATGTCACCCAAGAACGTGTTGGGTGCCCGGTGTTTCCCTGAGCCGTCCCGCCGGCTGACGAGGCCCTAAAGCAATGCACCGGCAGGGGTTCAGGGTCTGTGGCCCTTGGTGCTGCCAGCTGGCTGCGGCCAAGGGGTGAGCCGCACCGGCAATCTGGCTGAGGGCCCGCCTACAGCGCTCTTCCCAACACGAGGCGCGGGTCCACGGCGTTCTGAACATACGGGAGCAGCGCGAGTGGGGGTGCGGAGAGGCTCTGAGCAGGAGCAAGAGCTGGTGGGGCAGCGGCTGGGATGACCAGCGCCCCGCAGGCGCCCTGCACCATGTCCCCGCTCATGGTCCCACACAGGAACACCAAGTAGGCCTCTCTACTGGTGACGTCGCGTCTCACTCCACGCCACTCATACACACACACTAAGTGGGTGGTCAGACCGATCTGTAACACACGGTCCAAGTTCCTTTCTGTACAGGAAGAGGGTGACCAGCAGATGCACGTCGGAGGCGCAGTGGCTAACCTTTCACGAACAAAACTGAGCTCAAGTCGCTAAGGCTAATCTGTTTGTTTATCATACCGGCTTTTCTTATTCATATTTAATATTCTCCTGTGGCTTTAAAAAGACAGTATCAGAGAATTGAAGTCAAATGCAATTTTTAGACAACTCGTACTATTTAAGAACTACTCATAAAATTGAGTTCTGTTAAAGAAACAAACACTAATTCTTCTACTTTCAGTTGATTTACCAAGGAATTCCTAAACAGGAAACACAGAAGAGTTAAAGAATGTTTTCATTTAAAAGACACAATTAAAAACCTGTGGGGCACATAACCCTCGCACCCGAGGTCCAGGCGCAGCTCCTGGGGGCACCGACAGAACAGACTGTCCACCAAAGGCACCACTGTGCAGAAGTGAAGACTGTGCATATGACCCGTGTAGCTGCATGAGGGACGGTCACGACGCACCCCTGCCGAGAAGGGCGAGGCTGCACATAGAACATGCCCATCTGCGGCGGCCTGGGGAAGGGGAGGCTGTGGTGCGGTGGATGCAAAACCCAGAAGGCCTGCTGCCCGCACGTCCTGGGGCACCGCGGCCAAACGTTTCCCATGAAGTGTCTGTGCCTGTGTGTGTCTGTTTTAATACAGTTGTACTCATGCCAACACAGAGACAGAAATTTTTTTCTGGTTTTCACCCTTAGCATAACAGCAAAAAGTCCCGCTCCGGGAATAGGGCTTAAGTAAATCTGTCTCCTAAACTGGCGTAACACTGTCTCAAGCTTTTATGAATAATATTCCCCTAGGTGTTTACCTGACAAGTAGCCTGTTGTCCACTGTGAACTCAAACAAATGGAAGCACAAAGAGGAAGCGAAGCCTGCCCGGGACCCCGCCACCCAGAGGCCGTGGCCTGTGAGTCCCCTCCTCCAGCCTTCCCCTCTGCACGTCTACTTGGCGTTGGAAACCAAAGCAAGGCTGCCTTTCGCTGGCTGCACCTGCTGACAGTCGGTGTGTATCCCTGGTCATGCACTGTTCTTCTGAAACAAGATTTCCAGGCTCCTCAAGGTCTCCATCAAATGGCCACACCCGAGACTGGGTGAGTAAGTCCCCACACAAGGGGAGATGCTCACGCTCCGGGTTCCTGACAGCTCTGTGACGCACATCTCACCTCACGCGGCTTTCCCCATGTCAGGACTCGTCTCTGCAAGAAGCCCTATGGCTGGAACTGCAGCACGAGCAATGCGACCCATTTTAAGATCCCTGTTACAACACTGCCCACTTATTTTCCGAAAGTACAGGTGATTAGTATTGTGCATGCTTTGACCGGAGGGACTAACCTGTCTTGGGGAGTCTGCAGTCAGAATGCGGATAGACATCCGAGTCTTGCTGTGTCTTCTGCAAACAGAGAACACATTGTGAGCACAGAGCCCTGCTCCCCTGAGCTGTGTTTAACACAGCACGTGCTGTGCCCATGAGACAGATGTGCATAAAGTGTGGCTAAGGCCGGTAACACGCCAGAAGGCACTTAACTAGAAAGGGGCAGGATAACACAAAACAAGAATTCAAATAAAAAACAGATGCCCAGAAGAGGTAAAATCACCCCTCAACGCTGAAGGGAAAATTCCACATGCAAAGAAACAACATGCATTTTCAGATTCAATGTTTACTATACTGTATAAAAGCATGTTACATGCTAAGCTGCACAAACTGGAAACTGAAAAGCAATCTCTCTCTGTGTACAGAACTGTACAAATACATCACCAAAAAAAAAATAGAATGCAAGTGTCAAAATACATGTTTATGTATTTGCAATGACTTTTATTCAAAGGTCAACAATATTTAAAAGATTAATTCTAAAAGCACAAACCATCCATCAAAGACCAGCGCGTACCTTTCATACGGAATTCTCTTCATCCCACCGTCTCTGACATAATCTACTAGTTGTTTTTGAGTTCTCCCGCTGTGAACAGAGGCAGAAAAGAACTTAAAGAAAAGAACCCATGGTAACCCGCAGCACTAATCTTCCACAAGAAGGCCTGCCCATCTGCTCACAAATGTACACATACATTTCAAAGTTATGCTTGAAATAAGCACAACTGATTTTCTAGACACAGACTTTAGTAAGCCTATTTTTCCACTGTTATATTTGATGTGCTCTCTCCAGTTTTACAATAGCTGCATTCTTATGTGATTCTCTGAAGCATTTCTAAATGCTTTCTTTGTGACTGGGGTACCCCTGCTCATTTTACAAGGCAGCCCGAGCCCCGTGCGGTGCCCCACCTGTATCTGAAGGAGGAGCCCCTGCTGAAGAGGACGGCTTTAGCCTTTGGCTTAGGTTGATCAAAAAGTCTAAAAAAGGTGTGATACTCCACACAGATCTTCCAGAAGTTCTTACATTCATCTCTGCTACCTAACAAGAATTCCAGAGTGTCCTGGTAAGGTCCCTAGAAACAAAATAAAAGGTTCCAGTAAGTAATTCAAAAATAAAATTTAGGAACAAAACAGCAGCAGAATCACAGAACCCAAGAATGGACTAACAGTTACCAAAGGGAAAGGGACTGGGGAGGATGGGTGGGAAGGGAGGGAGAAGGGGG